AGTGTTAGTTAGTATAATCTGGTGTTGTATAACATTAGAGTGTATTCAAGATCAATACCTCTAGACATTCATTAGGGCATAATTTTCTCTCTGGGGAATTTACTGAGTCCATGCTGTGACTCTTCTAATTTCCCCAGAGAGAATTGTCATCATAATGTTTTCCTGACTTATCTCATTGCTCAGTAACTGTCCTTGCCTCCAGATTTTAAAGCAAATTAAATCAATTTAGTCCTAGGAAATTATTAATCACTTAAGGGGTCTGTACCTGTGAGAATAAACAGCTAGTGATACACAGGATGAATTTTATTTTAAAGTGGAAAGTATTTACGTGGAGTGAGCACAGTAAATGGAGACCGACATGCAGTCAGTGTAGTTAGTATAATCTGGTGTTGTATAACTAGAGTGTATTCAGATCAACTAGACATTCATTAATAAGAACTCAGACAGTCAAGGTATTATGTAGAGCTTCATTCACTCTAGTGTTTAGTTTCTTAGGTACCATGCATGATTTTATTTATCCTATGCTTCTGAGGTTTTGGTATGCTTTTATAATATGACCTGTTAGTATGTATAGGTCTGGTTAGCGCAAGAGCCTAAACTTAATAATTTACCACAGTAATGTTATATAAGTGCGTCCAAGGTCAGGCTTAATTGTGCCATTAAGCAAGGAGTTGTGGATATTTCATAGTAATTAAAAAAAAAAACAACTTATGTAGGCATATATTTGTTACTCATGATGTTTACATTTTGAGACTTCTTCCAAATATGAGTGTTTGAAGATATTTGTAGGGGGTGTGTAGTCTTTACTTAGTAATTTTAGAAGATATTTTGTGCTGAATTAGCCATGCCCTATCTCAGTGCTTTCATTTGTCATGTATAGAATGCAGTTTCACACTTCTTGGTTTATGGGCCATGGATCAGTTATTCTGTTTTGGGTTATGATTTTAACTTTATTTTAAATATGTTCCAACCAGATAACCTAACTGCCACTGAATATGTTTTTATCCACTAAATGTTCTCCTCTGATAATTATTAAAAGGATTTGGGATAGAATGACTGCAGTTAGATTTACTGAGTTGTCACTAAAGTAGTCTTTTATCTAAAGACTAGGTTGTTTTCATTCAGGACTCAGAAACGTAATTCACATGATAAATAGAGTATCCCAGAAAGAATACAGAGTCCAGGATTAGGTGATTCTTAGAACTCCTACTAACTATGCTATTGTCAAATGTGAAGCCTAGCCAAACATAGAGGCTCCAGTTGTGGCCCAGAGAAAGAGGGACTAGAAAAGAAAATTAAGATTGATACTGAAGAAGAAATTTAGTCTTGAAAAGTAAACTGCATAAAGGAGACCCCATGAGAATGAGGTGCTGGAAAGTCACTGCTTACACTTGGGTTGGTGGGGGAAGTCGTAACTGCTGTGGAGCTCTTGCTAGGTGCTTCATATTCATTATGTCACTTAGGCACAGTTCTTTCAGGTAGGTTTGCTCCAACATAGAAAACAGATTTGGGTAGCCAAGTTCAGAATAATGTTGAAAACTGGGATTTGAGCCCAGGCCTTGCTGACTAACTCTAGTACCTGTGCATTGTCTAGTGGGATCTATGAGAATACAGTGCATTCTTTTGTTGTGAAACCATGCCTAAGTCAGGCTTTTAAGAAAGATTAATTTGAACCACAGTGTTCAGTGCTTCTCCTGTTGCTCTAACAGGAACTGTGCATTATTACTAAAGTCTCCATTAATGGTAGTGGTTAAAGGAAATTCCTTGAATTCACCTGTTGGGAAACTGTTAGAGGCAGAGGCTGTTGCCTTCCAGTTCCCTTACACAGTCTATTCATAACTGCTGTCATGCCCATGTATTTAATACCTTTTACATTCATTAAGTTCTTTCAGATACATTCACTTAAGTTAGTAAATATTTGTCTACTTTGTGGCATCTAGCTACAAACCTTAAAAAAAAAAAGAAACTTGATCTCTGCCTTTGAGAAATTCAGTGTGTAAGCAAATAATTAAAGCCAGTAAGTATGAGCTAGAACCTAGTATAGGGTTTGTGTTTAAAGAACTCTTTCAGAACTGAATGATTGCTGTCAGTTGCTTATGGAAGTACTGAGGCATAAACCAATAAAGAAAGCTACCCATATGAGCTGAAGATTGTCCCTTAGAGAAGCTAACAATAGAATTAAGTCTGGAAGATGAGTTGTGGTTTGTTACATGTGAAAAAAGAAGTTATTCAGAAGGCATGGGAACAGGCAAATGCAAAGCCACGGAGAGGCCAAATTTCATGGTGCTTTTGGGAATGTATGGTACAGCTGGTAGATGGGGCCCATCAACCTTGTTCTGGCCCAGAGAAGGTCTCATTAGCCTCAGTCGTAGTAGAAGAAACTAAGAAGGATTTTACACTCATAAAAGTTGAAGGTCTTTTAAGTGACTCATCCCAAATCCAAAAACCATGTTGTGCACTTTATAAAAATACTCTGATCACTAAGGAACTACAAGAGACAGACTCAGTTTGCACCCTAAGTTAACAATAGCAAAAAGTCAATGTAAGTGAGTTTTATTGATTTCAATGTGGATTTAAATCTCATTTTTCAGCTGAAGTTTTTAATCTCCAGTAAAACTCAAGATGAGATATATATGTATACACATACATACACACACATACACACACACACACGTATGAATAATTAGACATCATTTTGAAAGGAAAATAGCACTCCTAAAAATAGTTCCTTACTTGACTGGAACTCATGTGATGTTACCATCTTTTATTTAAAGCATTTAATAGAATGCTATTTAGAGTGGGATCTAGTTCATCAAAATGAAGTGTGGCATTGAATACAATATCATATAATCATTACTGAAGTATATGTATTACCTGCCTGATGATCTCCTAAGGAGACCTCATCTTATACAACCTTATTTTTATACAAATTGCAGTGTGGCAGAGAGACCCAAGGGTAGTTGGAGATGTGCAGCTATGCTCCTTCTCATGTCAGCTCTCCACATCTTCACTGGATGACAGGACATGGGAACAGATGAGACAAGCTGTCATTCACCCAGACTGCCCTTTGAAGAAAGCCATGGGGGGAAATAGGTGCCGCAAATGGGCTGTGAAGTTTACATGCACTGCCCACTGTTAAACAGATTACATCTAATGAAGTGTCTAATGCTCAGGCCATATCAACCTAATCCTTGCTGGCAGTTCATCCCTCAACTGCCAAAAACACCGCCCTCTGGCCCTGTCTCGCCACTCTGGCCGCCAAGCACAGGGAGGTGCCCAGTCTTAATAAACCAAGACAGTGTGTGATCTGACATGCAAATGTAGGTCATTGCATATGTAAATGTGTGATTACAAACCTGCATGCCAAAACACATTAGTAAGACTTTGCTCTCAGCATGCGGTTGTCACACTGCCTTAGTGATTCGTGCTAATATTTGTCAAGTCGTTGTGCAGACAGAAGACGGGGTCCCAGTCAGATTGAAATCTGCGGATTCTATGATGCTGCTCCTTCTCATGAAGCTGATGCACTGCTGAGATTGACAAGTCTTCATCAAGAGAAGGAGTGGTCCTTGTGTGAAGGAGAGAAGAAGGATAATGTAAAGTAGGAGTTAATGTAAAGTACTGCTCATATATCAAATATCCTTCTGTAGAAGTCTAGGATACAGGAACTTAACAAAGTTCATTTGAAGGCATAAGATTTCAAGTTGAATGTAATGTGTTATGAACTGGGACCATCTTTGAATGCATTAATAGGTCTTTAATGCTCAGTTTCAGGGTGCACTAGGCAGGCTCCACTAGAATGTCATGTGTACTTGAAGTTGGCTCAGAGAGTAGAGAGGGTGCAGAGAATGTGAGGAGGATGGTAAAAGGCTTAAGGTGCTCATCAGAAATCTACGGGTCTTACAAAAGCCCAGGCATATTTAGCCAAAAAAGATGAAATCAGGGATGTAAGATAGCTGAATAGAGTATTTTATTGTGTTTTTGTATAGGTAGAGCTGTAAGAGACAGGCGGCATTCGTTGGGTATAAGTTGTAACCTCAGCAATAGCCAGAGTCTGTCTATAATGGACATTCATCCAGCGTTTCACCCTCTAACTCAGTGACCAAACAAATAAATGAACAGAACTACTAGGATAATGGATAGACTTTCTAAGTTGCTCTTTCTTTCACATAGGGACCACCACTATGCATCACCCCACAATTATTTCTGTCCTAGCACAGTGCAGAGCTCCTTCCATGTATTTGAGTAAACTGTTTGTGAGCAGAAAACATTTCTGATTCAATCTGTTTCCCTAGCAGTTAGCACAGGGCCTGGTATATAGTAGATACCAAAAGATACTATAAATAAAGAAATGAGTTTCTCCACAAACAAGAACAAGAAAAGTATTTTTTAAAAAATGTAATGATGTGCTGGTAAACTCCCTGCCACTGGAAATACTGGAAATATGTTTTGTAGAAAGTAAATAATGGTCAGGAAGTTAAAAAGTGTTTCAGGCATTAGTTGACAGATTGGACTAAGTGAATGTATATGAGGTCCATTTAAGTCAAAGACTTTTTTAAAAAAAAAGAAAATAAATGTCTGAGAGATACTAGCTCAAATGAAATTGGTTTGTAGTGTGTGAACTAAAGAGAAATTATAGGGAGTCATTATCTAAAATTTCAAAATTCTTCTCATCCCCATATAGTATCCCTCTTCTTTCTGTAATTTTACCTTACTGTAATTTTTGCCCTTTCCAATCTCACATACTGTATACATATCTCATGTTTACATTCCTTACTTTCCCTCCTCCTATAACATACGTTCATCATGTGCAGAGGTTATCTGTTTAATTTGCTGCTGTATCCTCAGGAACAGTGCCTGGCATGTGTAGAGTTCAGTAAGTATTTTTTGAGTTATTGGATATTTGCAAAATTACTGTAGTTATCATTTACTTAAGTAAACATGTTCAGTGATTGTGTGTGGTGTAATTGAAAGTACTTCTGACTTTGTTTTCGTTACAGAAGGCCTTACGACCGGATATGGGCTACAATACATTAGCCAACTTTCGCATAGAGAAGAAAATTGGTCGTGGACAGTTTAGTGAGGTTTATAGAGCAGCCTGTCTCTTGGATGGAGTGCCAGTAGCTTTAAAAAAAGTGCAGGTAAGATGATTTAATTACATAAATCGATGTAAAGTTATCTGTGTGACAATTAGTTAGAGAAAAATACTTCTGGAGTGATTTGTGTAATGGTAACCTTACGTTGAGAATGCTGGGAAAGACTGAGCATTGTATTTTAAAGTTTGAATTACATGTATTATAAAGTGGAAATTAACTTTTTAGTTTTAACACTGCTTTCAGATGAGTAAAACTTGGGCGAGTACTGTTTACCCATATCCAGCAATAACTGGAATGATCCTAGAAAAGCTTTCACAAGTTCAGATTTTAAGAGGCAGATTTGAGTTGTCACCATTACTTCTATCTGGACATTTAACAAGGCATGAAATCCTTAGCTAGAGCTCAGTATCACAGAAGGCAATGGATTTACCAGCTGTGTTGCCTAAGTTAGTAAGTGGCAGTCACCAGACTGGCAGTGACTGAGAAAAAGATGAAGTGAACCTCACTCACTTAGAGGGGAAATGAGGTCGGTAAAGTGAGAGGACTAACACCTGACTATAAACCTCCATTTGTTCTTTAGCTGGGCTCTTGGGTATTTTTCAGATTTGTTTATTACTTCAAAAGTCCTGCCCTAGTGCTCGTGTCCTAAACTCACTGAGCACCTCTCACTGCAATGCCCACTGCCCAACAATGGGGAAAAACTATCCCCTTAGGACATCAGGGAGGAAACAAAGTCCCACCATCAGCATCCAAAGCTGATATTCTTACAATTAAACTACCCCCTGCATTCAATTTTCTATCACCTAATCCTAAGTAATACACTAGTATGTACGCATTACAATCATGCATTCGGTTACATACCACATTAATAATGCTTGAGTACTTGAAATGTTAATCGTACATTGTACATAATTGTATAATTATACATAAAGTCCTCTACCCCAAGCATATAAGCACGCATATAAATAGTTATTCGGACTATAATACATGGAATGTCAACGTACATAAACCTACTCCACAACAGGGATATTCATCACCAAAGAATACCTATTGACAGGACATAATACATTAGTCTTTTGGTCGTACATTAGCGCATTAAGTCAAACAAATCCTTGTCAAAATGGATGTCCCCACCATAATTTGGTCTCTTAGTCTCCCATCCTCCATGAAACCAGCAACCCGCTCGGGAAGTGTCCTTCTTCTCGCTCCGGGCCCATTACACTTGGGGGTTTCTATAGTGAAACTGTACCTGGCATCTGGGTCTTACTTCAGGGCATGACAACTAAGATCGCCCACACGTTCCCCTTAAATAAGACATCGCGATGGACTAATGACTAGACTGGCCCATGATCAGCATAACTGTTCTGTCATACATTTGGTATTTTTTAATTTTTAGGATGCTGTGACTCAGCATAGCCGTCAAGGCATGGTCTCAGTCAATTCCATTGTAGCTGGACTTTTAAATCAGTATTCTTTATCTGCATAATAAAAATCAAGGGGTGTTAGAACTCCATGCTTGATGGACATAAGGAAAGAACAACACACACATACGCATACACGGATACATGGATACACGGATACACGTGTACACGTATGTGTATACCACTAGGTATACACTAGGGCGAATGCAACTCGCCCTGGTGACATCCTTGTCCTAGACTGTGGAGTGTGTACAACCTCATGCAGTTTCACGTCCCTTTCCAGTTAGGTTGTTACTGCTTTCCTTGCCATAGACTGCCCATTTTGCTTTGCTATTGTCTTTTCTCTGCAGAGCCCTCTAAAACTACATTGCCTCATTTTCTTTTTAACTTCTTCAGGTGATCTATATACTTGAAATTGCCATTACAGAGATGAGCAGTTTTAATTTATATCTAACAATGAAATATTAAATATGAAAGACTTTATATAATAGATAACCTCATATTCACAACCCAATTTGGAAATAAATTTTAAAAATATTTCTGATTTGTGTCTACCACTCTCTACCCTCATAGGTAGTCATATTGTGTATTTACTGTTTAGCATTCCTTTGGTTTTCTTTATACTTTCTTCTACATATACCTGTATGGATTTCCAATAACATTTATAACTTTGTATAAAGGAAGCATGAATTATATGCATAATATAAAATACACAAAGTATAAACATTATTTAGGATATATTAATATATAGTGTTACATATACAATGTGCTTTTTTCATATAGCATCATGTTTCAACAACTAATTCATGATGGTGCAAATGGCTGTAGCACATCCTTTTCACTGCTGTATAGTATTCAGTTCTTATTGCTTGTGGTTCAGGCTGTTTACAGTTATTTGCTGTTATAAACAGTACTTCTCTGGTATTCTTGGGTGTCTTTTCCTGATGTACTCATGCAAGAATTTCTCTGTCATTTGTGCCTAGGACCAGAGATGATGAGCCATGGGGCATACATACATGCCACAAGTTAATGCTGGTTAATGTGATTTTCCACAACTGTATTTGTTCAGTTTCTTACAGTAGCATATAAGAATTGGAAGTTTCTCTCATCTAATATGTCACTTACAGTTTAAGAATATGCAATAAAATGCAGATTCATGTTTATGAAGTACATGACTTTTGGAATGACTATTTCTTTATAAAAGAACTCAATTAATTTTTGCAGTGTATTAAATTTCTACTGTGTATCTGTGAGCACTGAGAGAGATATAAAAGAAACTAGTGATATTATTTCTACCCTCCAGGGCAACAAGTCTATCTGCTAACACAATTACATGCTAAACCTCGTGGCATGGATTCATGATCTAAATAAGAGTTTACAGAATGGAGATGTCAATTTGAGCTGTTGGAGTTGGTGGAATTAGAACCTAAGTCAGGCTGTAAATTGAGAGTAAATCGTGTGAGCTTTGGACTTGGGCAGAGGAATTTGAACAGCAAGCAAATAAGGATTCACTAGAGATTCTAAAGTAGGGGAATAATCTTTTATATTTCAATATTTTCAAAATAAAAGTAAAAATTAAGCATATAGAATGCCCTGGAGAGAAGACAGATACCCATTTGCTGAGGTACCCACGTGGAAGTTCTGGGCCCTTCTTTGCTTCCTTCTTACCTTTTCATGGATTAAGAATGTGGAAAAGAGAGGGGGCTCAATTCTGTCTCTTGTGATTATTTTTTTAAATCACAGAACTTTGTCTTAGAACCAGAAAGAAAAGGCAAGAAAGGAAGAAGGGAAGAAGAACAAAAGCTCTTTTAGGTCTCTTGTACCATCTGAATGGTTCCCTCCTGCCTGTACTTTTCCTTCTATTGATTGGAAGTCTGAAGAGCATGACTTAATTTGCACAATTGCATTTCCATTCAGTCTTACTTGCTGTCCCCTCTGACTTTGACTGACCCCATTATAGTGTGATAAACCTCAAATTGCTGTAAGAAGGAAGTTGAAGTTTATTCTTTTGGATTTTGTCATTCCTGTTCTTCTTTGTTAAGTGTTAATATTGTAGCATCTCCTAGTTTAAATGTAGCTTCCTTGTAGAAGAGAAAAATGATGTTATAACATTATACTTAGCTTATTTAATTAGGGAACAATGTCTTAAGCCTTCGTGAGGAGAAATTTATTTGCATTTCAGGCATATTATTGATTCTCTTGATGTATTACATTTGTGTTGAACACGAAAAACTATGGTTCTTCCTTTATAAAAAGTCATTTCTACAGCTTAAAGTAGAAATTCTTAAATATTTTTAGCTAGATGATTTTCTTTTCTGAAGAATCACAACCCTAAGTCTTCAAAAAAAAAAAAAAAGTCCTCAGAATCGAATACTGAATTTCCTCATCTAACTTGCTATTTTAAGGCCATATTGCTTGTCTGAAATGCTACATTTCCATTTCCAGCTCTGTTAGAATCCTTCCTGAATAGATGGGGTGAGTTCACATGCTACAGAACTATTTGGCAATTCATTTCTTTGCTTAATAAAACACTTTAGAACTTCCACTCAGACTCCTGACCTTTGTTTCTAAGACACTTCCTTTGTCCCACATCATCCAGTTTACTTATCCAGAGTCTTTAAAAAAGAATGTGCTAGGCTCTGGTGACTTTCCTGCAGGGTTTCTTATTACCTGTACAAGGAAAGAAGAGTGTGTGCATCGGATGCACGTTATTTCTTGGAAATCACAGACCTCAGAATATGGCCACGTTAACCAGTCTTTTTGAAAATGTACCTCCATCCCATCATGGTTTGTTGGCAAGAAGTAAGATGGTGCCTTACTGATAATTTTGAAATTCTGTGCACTGACTTTTCTTTCCTCTCTCCCGCCTTCCCTTCTTCCATGCTTCTCTTCCCGATGAATCAGTTAATTCCACCAGTAGTTATCAATCACTTCAAGTTCATTGGTCAGTCTGTGAAGCTTTGAGAATACAAAAATGAGCCTAATGGGGCTTAGGAGATTCTCATGGTGGGACATCAGTGACACTTCTAAAACTATGAGATCGTACCATGATGGGAGCAGCCGTGAGGTGTACAGGTGTGTGGGGAAGGGTGAGAAGTCTTCACAGAGGCATCATTTGGGACTTAAGTACTTTGTGTTAAAAGATTATCAAAGACTTGTTTGGATCTGTAAACAGCAGTTTGTAGTTTATTATATTTAGTTCATTGACTAGAGCTATATGATTGGACTTGATTTTTATTTTATTAGTCTCATGGCATAGGTAGTATGAACTGGGGTCTCACTTCATTTCAGTTCTTTATTGTTGCCCTAATTTTTTAATACTAGCAGGTGAGGTATTTTGATCCTTAGTTCATTAAAGCTTAATCTCTCTTTGCTTCCTCTTAAGTAGTTTGTGCAAATAACCCTTTTATTGTGCAATGTCTACTGTCAGTGAAATTGTGTTAGAATGAAAAGCTAAAAAATATACTTTATGTGTATTTATTTAAAAAAAGTAACAATATGTCTTGTTCAAATTAATCTTTTTGGTCTAAGTGATTCACAAAAACCTTCCTGAAAGGGAAAGTATTCCTGGGTATTTAGTGCTTTATTTTTATTTACTTATATTTAATTGTTGTTTAAAAACAT